CCCCCCCCCCCCCCCCCCTCAACTTTCAAAAATTATTGAACACATTGCCCCCTTTGACTTTTTAAAAGGATTGCACTTGGCTTTTTTCTTCTTTGTCTGTGTAGTATTAATTTTTGGTCTTTTGTGACTAATGATGTTTTTATTGTTGAATATAAAATAGTAAATGTAATATATTATTTTATTTTTATCCATAGGGAAAAAATTAACGGTGTGCCCAACTAGAAGTAAATTTCTGGCTCCACCTCTAATTATGCATTAATGTGGGGGGAAAAATATCATTTACCCAAACCTACATATATAGGATTCAAATCCTTGTAAAATATGTATTGGCACTTTCATCGGCACTTGGGACAATACTTGAACTGAGACATAAAGTTGACCCGTTGAAGAAACCTTTACTTATCCTCGAATGATTATGAATTGATTGTTTGATGAAATTATTTAACAGTGTTCCACATCAAGTTAACTCATATAAGAAGTTTGACTTAAATTTCTCTATTAATTGAAAACAATAATATTACAGCATATCATTAAAAATCGGTCGTGATAAATTGCACACAACTAAAATTTGATATCAATGATAACTCAATGAATGACTCTCAATTGAAAAAAAAAAAACATTTTAGTTTTGTCACTACTTTGCCCTCTAAGAAAAAAATTCAGGCTCCGTCCCTTATCAAAACCAAGGGCGAAGCCACGTTGAAGCCAGTGGGGGGCACTTGTCCCCCCCCCCCCCCTCCTCTCCAACTTTCAAAAATTACTGAATATATATTCTTTAAATACCCATAGTTTTCTCAACTGAACACACTGCCCCCTTTGATTTTTATATATTTGTGCAATGACCCCATTCTTTGTTTCTTTTTAGTAACTTTGGCTTAGTATTGGCCCCTAATCAAATTTAAAAAAAATATATTTTTTGATTGCACAGAAAAAATATGAAATGCAATGACTCATGTATATTGATCACAAATAATAAATCTTTTTTATTTAATACATTGCACCTATTTTATAAAAAAAAAAATTTGAAAAGTAGCACCCGATACATTAACAAGGTTTAGAAGCGAACAACAAAATTCCCTTCCCTAAAGTTGTGTTTTTTGTTATTCAAAAAATTAATTTTTCAAAAGGATGGAGCATGATCTCAAGGTTGTAACAATATGAGTAATGATAAAAATCACAACTATTTGTATTCATTGAAAGGAAGTTCTTAAGAAAATTACAATACAATTAATTATAGATGATTCTTGATATTAAAAAAAACTTTGTGCTTCACTTTAATTTATTACTGAACTGGGCATATGACCCATACAAGAATTAATCATGAATCTTACCGTATTTTTCATAATTACACTCGACTCTTTGTATTAGCTGGTATTTTCTCATTCATGTTTGCCGCCTCTAAACTCTAATTCTGGCTCTGCCCCTGATCAAAACTATAGTGCTTAAAATTTATATTTCAATAGCATGCTAAAAAATGAATCTCAATCATCTCCTTAGGTCTAAAAAACAACTATTTATGGCCAATCATCTCCTAGGGGTGGGTTTCCGTGGTTGTGGTGGTGGGTTTCCGTGGTGGGGTGGGTTGTGGGTTGTGGGTTTCGGTGGTGGGGTTGGGGGTGGGTTTCGGTGGTGGGATTGGGTGGTCTGTGGGGCTGGACGGTGAGGTTTGGATGTTGAATTTTTGGTTTAATACCAAATAATTTTTTTTATTTTTATTATCATAATTTTTTAGATATAAATAACTACGAACATGTTTAATATTTTTAATTTTTATCATAAATAAATACAAATTTAATTTAATTTTTTTTTTAAATATATAAAAATGAAAACGTTATCCAACGTCCTCAGATAATCAATCATCTCCAGAAAACGCGAAAAACCGGACTAAAGAAATGAAATTGTCCGAACTAGAATATTCCGAATATAACCATGATCTGACACTGAATTTTGTAGGCGTACCTTGTACACAGGGCCAAAGCCTCCGTGACCGAGCTGGTTCGACTCGGAGAAGAAGTTGGTAGCAATTTGCAGAGTCTGAAGCCCGAAAAACAAAGAGTCAGCGCCGTCCTCATCTTCATCTCCGCCACCGCCGACGGCGTCTCCACCGCCTCTTACTCTCTTCTCAAAGCAACTGCAGAAAGTGGATAGAAATCCCATGGATGGAGCGTCAATTGTACCGGACCAAGAGTTAATTTATGGTCTCCATGCCCATGTACAGTTAGATATTAGAATTAGGTAGTAATACGTGTCTGTATATGCGTGTGCGCGAAAGATAATTCGAATTCCACAGTGCGTTCTCTCTCTAGGCTCCGGTCCTCCTCGTAAAGTCTTCTGCCAATCGGGTGTCCTTTGTTGTCTTTCGCCTGATGGTCAACATTCGTTTTTTCATTCCTTTTTTTTGAAACATTTCGGTCACATTTCTTCTACTTGCAAAAACATTTTAACACTCCATTTAATGTATATTTAAAAATTTAAAAATTATTGACACCATTTGTCATAAAATCAACATTTATAACAAAAATAAATTATCTAAAATACTAAAATTACCCCTCTATAAACCCTAAACAACCTTTCTAAATAAAATTTGATTCAAATTTTAGTCAATTAAAATTTATTTTTTTATATATTAAAATTCGAGTTGATTAAAATTCTTTTTTCTACATATTAAAATTTGAGTCTATTAAATTCGATTCGGGCTGATTAAATTTTATTTTTTTTATATATTAAAATTTGAGTCGATTAAAAGTCTTTTTTTACGTATTAAAATTCGAATCAATTTGAGCTCTACTTGAGTTTTTAGCCCCGATTAAAATTTATATTTTTTCTATTTATTAAAATCATATTCAAGTTGATTAAAATGTATTTTTTACGCATTAAAATTTGAGTCACTTAAAATTTATATTCTTTTATATATAAAAAATTGGGCAAATTTAAATTTAATGCGAGTTGATTAAAATTTAATTTAAGCCTCGAATAGAAATTTAATAGGCTCAAATTTTAATACGTAAAAAAATATAAATTTTAATTGACTTAAATTTTAATATATAAAAAATAAATTTTAATTGACCCAAATTTTAATAAGTAAAAAAATTTTAAAATAAAGGAGGTTTTATTGAAAATATACCTATCTAAAAGTGGTGTGGATAAAATTTTTTCGAAAATATATCACGGGGTAATTTAGTAAAATTGAATTCTAATTAACATTTTTCAATCAGGAAGTGTCATTAAAAATTCAACAAATAAAGAAGGTGTTCTTGAAAATATGATAAACTAGAAGGATGTGGCTGAAATTTTCCCTTCCTATTTTTAAATTGTATGTTTTTAAATCTATATATAATCAAGTTTAAGTTATATTCAATATCTATAATATGAAATAGAATTGATTTCAATAAGTTAATTCAACGATCTTAAATAAACTCATATAACGACCACTAACATCTCTCTCAGAATTATTCGCATTGCACCGTACCTTCAGACATAAATTACCTCTAATTTATTATATTTGTGTCATATTTAAATAAAATCGTATTAAACTACTCAAAACTTATTAATTTTATGTCAATATTGTGTTATAAATTTGAGCTAACTTTAAAGTTGTGAGGCCCATCTCTTATTTTTTTTCTTTTCGTCTAATTTCTATCAATGGGTTCTAACTTCGATGTTATAAAAAATTTATATCATATTTTTCAACTATTAAGAATGTAACACATATAAAATCTCCTTATTTTTTTATTTTTTTATTTTTACAAATGAATCAATTCACATCTAAAGTCAAATCATTTTTTGAAATCCCTTTTGATCATAAAGGCCTAGAAAATAATCTTGGTGTAGCGTTGGTGTGATAATATTGTCATACAAGAAGAATAATAGTGTCCTCTCTTTAAACTTTTCAGATAAAAAAATCTCGTGCATAGACTCCAAAAAAGAAAAAAATATTATGGTAAAAACCTGGAAAGAGTAAAGATGCATTACGTGCACGAAGGGTTCGTCTAAAAGTTGGTGAACCCATATGAATAATCCTTGCATAAAGTGGTTTTGTGTTGACTAATCGCAGCTTCCACGGTAAGTAACCAAACACGTTTCTTTGCACTGACTTTGTCCTCTTGTACATCACTGTCACTGTCATAACTCTCTTCCTAGGAAAATCAGATGGCCGCTCAAGTGTCACCATTCTTCTTCGAGTAACGTAAGATGAATTTAAAAATTATTAAATTTAAAAATTAAATTTAATAATTTTAATTATTAAATAGATAATAAATCTTAATAAATATTAGTATTTACAATAAAATTTATAATTTTAATTATTAAATTTAATTATTAAATTCATGTAACATTACTTGTCTTTTTCAGTTACCAATTTTAATTCTGAAATGTTGGAATGTCAAAGAAGGCAAATAATAGTCTAATCGTGGATTATATGATGTTCCCATGAATTTGGCTCCTCATTAATTTAAAATTTATTAATTTTAGTCAATTCTTTATTTCTTTGTTAAATTATTGGGTTTCATTTTGTGTTCGCTTAGAGTTGACTTTTTGGATTCAAAATAAATGTTTGAAAAATGAAATAAAAAAATTAGAATTAAAAAAAATATTGAAGATATTTTGAGTGTTCTTGAAAAAGTCGACTTTTCCTTGAATAAGACAATTTTTTCAATTTTTTCTTTGTGCTGATAAAATCTATTTTTGCACAATAAATTTGTGAAAAAGTCGTCCAATTAGTTCGAATCCGAACAAACCAGACTTCTTTTTCTCTTAATGCTCCAAAAGTTGAAGTTTCAGCGAACTTCAAACAAGCCCATTGAATAAAACTAAAGATTTTTAATGATAAATGATAAAAATTAATTGAACAAGGAGATGTAAAAAACCAGAAGATTTGAATCGTACTCTCATTCACCTATTTAATATTTAAGAAACTTTTTATGAGATTAAATCACAAGGCAAAGTTTGTAAGCATATACTAATAACACATTTTTGAATTTTGTTGTATTCTCGGGCGACGCTAAAAAATATTATAAGGTGGAAACTTTAATAAGTTTAAAATTTTTTTTGCTAATCTCTAAAACTAATTCAATAAATTTATATTTATTACTTTTATTTGATACTTGAGAATTATATAAACGTAGAAGACCAAACAAAACAATATACATAGTGTATATAAATAAAAAAAAATTTTAAAAAAATAATTATAACCCTTTACAAAAACTAAAATTTAATACAATCATTTAAAATTGATCTCTCTTAATTTTCATATTTCAAAAAAAATGTATTTTAAATTTTCAAAATTTTCTTTCTCTATCTAATCAATTATACTATCACTCATTCATTTATTATCAATTTGATCAAATGGGACCTTTATAGCTGATTTTGTTAATTCAAGTTGTGACCCTGGTTTCTTTATGTAATCACAATAATTTTTATTTAATAACAAAATAACCCCATAATCTTTTTAAACATAACAAAATGACTCCAATATGTGTTGAATTTGTCTAAATGTAACTATAATGTGTCCGAATTATAGCCGAAAATTATTAGTGGCTTTACTTATTAGTTAATCATAATTGATATTAAAAAAAATAGATTAGACATAACTAGAACTACTCAAGAAATATTTAAAATCTATATAACATTGATAATTTAAAAAATATGAGGGTGGGTATGTGGCCACCGTGGCGCTCACTTCGTTCCGCCAGTGGTTTTATTCATGTAAAGGAAATACTATAGCTATTAAATTGAGGAGTAGAAGGCTTTAACATCTCTCCAATAACGGACCCTCGCNTAAAGATTTTTAATGATAAATGATAAAAATTAATTGAACAAGGAGATGTAAAAAACCAGAAGATTTGAATCGTACTCTCATTCACCTATTTAATATTTAAGAAACTTTTTATGAGATTAAATCACAAGGCAAAGTTTGTAAGCATATACTAATAACACATTTTTGAATTTTGTTGTATTCTCGGGCGACGCTAAAAAATATTATAAGGTGGAAACTTTAATAAGTTTAAAATTTTTTTTGCTAATCTCTAAAACTAATTCAATAAATTTATATTTATTACTTTTATTTGATACTTGAGAATTATATAAACGTAGAAGACCAAACAAAACAATATACATAGTGTATATAAATAAAAAAAAATTTTAAAAAAATAATTATAACCCTTTACAAAAACTAAAATTTAATACAATCATTTAAAATTGATCTCTCTTAATTTTCATATTTCAAAAAAAATGTATTTTAAATTTTCAAAATTTTCTTTCTCTATCTAATCAATTATACTATCACTCATTCATTTATTATCAATTTGATCAAATGGGACCTTTATAGCTGATTTTGTTAATTCAAGTTGTGACCCTGGTTTCTTTATGTAATCACAATAATTTTTATTTAATAACAAAATAACCCCATAATCTTTTTAAACATAACAAAATGACTCCAATATGTGTTGAATTTGTCTAAATGTAACTATAATGTGTCCGAATTATAGCCGAAAATTATTAGTGGCTTTACTTATTAGTTAATCATAATTGATATTAAAAAAAATAGATTAGACATAACTAGAACTACTCAAGAAATATTTAAAATCTATATAACATTGATAATTTAAAAAATATGAGGGTGGGTATGTGGCCACCGTGGCGCTCACTTCGTTCCGCCAGTGGTTTTATTCATGTAAAGGAAATACTATAGCTATTAAATTGAGGAGTAGAAGGCTTTAACATCTCTCCAATAACGGACCCTCGCTTATCCTCAACATATGTATTTTTTAATGTTTGCTGCAACATTTTTTTTTTTTTTTTCTGATTGTTAGCGATGAGTCGTGAATATATTATTTTTTCTCTCTAAACACTGCCGGCCCACCTTTTAAATATGGTGATTTAACCATGTGGGTGAGAGAGAGAGAGGGGTCATATAAACTGTAATGAATTTTCAAAGCATTACTAGTCAAAACTGGTTAGGTAAAAGATGGTCGATACGTGTACATAATCCATGCATGAAAATGAATTTGCGTTGACTAATTACGGCTTCCTTAGGAAACAGGCCTGTTATAATAATTTTGTCGTTTGTCACACCGAGAAAAGTGTGGAAAAAGGCCAATCACCTAAGAGGAATTTACTTCTATACGACTTATCTCTCTTGTCGATTTGGGTGTGATTAAATGTCAATAGATATTGATAAAA